GTTGGGATTTATGTTTTACTAGGTGTTCATGCAGACCAATATGGTGAGCGAACGAATGATAAACAATAAACAGAAGCTGTCTGAGTGTAGCCTTTCAACCCAGAACACAGTCACACCAACAGTGCAACCCTCAGCTGTTCTGGTGAAGAATGACTTCATAACCAGCATCACTAGGATATGTTAGCATCACAGCTCCTGAAACAGGTACTGCAAGACAAAGTAAGCCATAAAGACAAAAGTCTGAAGAGCTGGGCGGAGCGTGGTGGAGCGCAGGAGATTGTAGAAGGAATGCTGGGCGGATCAGAGTGGGTTGATTTGGTGCTACCTTCAGTTAGATACTGTAGCTTTAACTTAAAAGGTGATATGTCAGTGTTATGTTCACAACTTGCTCTCACTGCCCCAAGTGGCCAAAATGATCTATTATTGCTGCCTTTAATAACGTCTACAGTGAATTAAAGGCAGCAAATCTTGACGCTGCACTGAATTCTGGTCTGGTTTTGTTCCTGTGGGTGTTGAAACTATTTGCTGTTCATTACCCGTGGTGATGGATTTGTCTGATATTGATGTGGGCACTAACTGGCGACTTGACAAAGAAGCTCTCGCTCCTTGATTCAGAGACACTGAAAGCAGAAGCCAGTGTTTACTATTGCTGTTGACTAAACCATTTTCTTATATCAAAACCCTCTCTGTAGTTTTACCCAGGAGGACTCCCTTGGACAAATGTGAGTGAGTGAGCCAGCCTGGTGAAATAAAGCTGAAATAGAAATGGAAATATATCAGGGCAGAGCAGCTTCACTGTGTCTGTAGCAGCTGCGTCATCATGCCATGAACATCAAGTCAGGTACCAAAAGGAGGAAGACAGTTGTTTTTCATCATGAATGTATTCAGTGGTGTTTTTAGACATTTCTGGACACTTGTAGGATTTTAAGTATTTGCTAGGATTATTTTCCCCCCCACAAAACAGTATGTAGCATTTTGAAATGAAGCCTCACCAATCCATACAAACCGATCGCTTGGAGCAGCTTGGACCTGTCATTTCTTGTCAAAACAACATCTCCAAAGTGTGACTTTTACCTCTGGACAATGACAACAGCCCCTTCTCCCTCCACCGCCACCCTTTGCTCAGAAGGGTTTTATTGATATTGATTTGGAAGAAACGCTTAAGTCTCCATTGAAAGGAGTATGAAGGCCAAGTTATTTCAGGCGCTGTCGACCGGCTGCGCTCCCTTCAGCGGGGGTGGGATCTGGGCAGAGAGAGCATGAAATCAATGTGGAAGTTGGGCCAAGAGTTGAGAATACAATACATAAGAAACAGCGGCTTAGTGTGAAGTAAGCTGATAAGTGAGAGCAGGCCGGTGTATTGATTTGAGCCATTAAATCCACTTCAATCAGCCTTCATCAAAAACGAGATGAAAGAGGAGAAGCTTTTTCAAGTTAAACAACGAACCGCTCCACTGATGAGAGCGAAGGAAAGATTAGTCCCTTTTCAAACAATCTTACTGTGAGAACTTAAGCATTATTCTACATAGGAGGGAATTCTTATCTTGACTTCTGCTATTTGCAGCCGAAGCTGGACTGATTTCATAGCACTAGGAGCTTGGATCCAGCAGGAGCTGAGGCGGACCTTTATCTCAGCTCTGCTTATCTCGAGATATCAAAGATTAACAGTAGGTTATAATTTGTGTTAACAAGGGGGAGGCTTCTCCTTTCATCGCCACTTAAACCTAATATCCATCAACGTCCCAGGCCTCACTGCCTCAAACAGGTCATGCCCCCCCTGTGCCAAGGCATGGTGTGCGTAATTAATCTAATTTTAGCGCTGGCTCTCAGTGTTACACTAGACAGAGATTTTATTTTCATTTACTTTAATTCTACAATAAATGATGGAGATCCAAGGAACACCAGATTCCGTCGACACGATCCACATGATAAGACAATGTTTGCACGTCTCGGTGATGAGCAAGGTGATGCACTCTTTGTGTTTGTATTCAAGATAATTAATGTGTGGAACATGAGAGATTGTGACATGATAGGAGCCCACAAAGGATAATTAATTAATGTGTGACAATGAGCTAAATTAGTAGCGAGAGAAGTGCATGTAGGGCTGAAATGATTAGGTAAAGCGAAACCATCTTGATAATTTATGAACAAAAATGGCAAACATTTGCTGGTTCTACCATATTTTGAGAATTTGCTGCTTTTTAAATTTACCATCTTTGCATTTTGGATCGTCAGGAAAAACAAGCAACTTGAAGAGGTCATCTTGGACTGTGGATGCTATCATAGACATTTTGCACTATTTCTATTAAAGGGTATCCATCATCCATCCATTTCCAGCTGCTTATCTGGGATTAGGTTGTGGTGGCAGCAGGTTCAGTAGGGCAACGTTTTTCAGCTCCTCCTGGGAAACCCCAAGGCGTTCCCAGACTACATGAAATATATAATCCCTCCAGCATAATCTGGGTCTACCTCAGGGCCTCCTACCAGCTGGATATGCCCAGAAAATCTCCAGCGGGAGGTGCCCAGGAGGCATCCTAATCAGATGTCTGAACCACCTCAACGGGCTCCCTTTGACGCAAAAGAGCAGCAGCTTTACTACACACCCTCTAAGGCTGAGTGGTTGAAACTCATTTCAGCCACTTGTAGTTATGCTCTCATTCTTAAAAAGTTAACTGGAAGCTAACCGACAGATTTCACAGTAACAAAACTACTCGTTACTTGTAGTCCTAAGAGCATGGATGTGAGAGATATGTGCTGTGTGGGTGAATGTTGCCAAATCAAAGAGTGAAAACAAACAAGGTGGATGCCAGCTGGAAGTGAGACAGAAACTGATCTAATGGCTGAGCTTGTATAGCCAAGGATGACCAGGAGAACCACATCAGCTCCCGTAACCCATGAAGCGCAGCAGGGGCAACAAGGGCTGCTCAGCAGACGGGGGGGGGTGTCACAGAGGAGTTCATCAAATCCCTGCTCGTTCGATTTATAGCTTTCAATGTTTGTAATCCAGCTGGTTTCCACTGCCTGACACCTGTGCAAGACTGTCATCTCTGTAAAACCATTGAGAAGTTTACTGCAGTTTACAATGTGGCTGCAAAGCCCTGCAGCCGACACACTCACTCCTCCACTGGCAGAATGTGTTAAATACCAAGAGAAGAGTCTGTGACATGTGGCAAACTGTTTCTTCATTTATCATTACACGTCTTTTTAATAGACCACAGAGTCAGGTTTATCAAATCTAGGGTGATGGGTGTCTGTAACATGGATTAGATTTACAGGTGCAAACACTAACAGGATTCTCCTGAAACTGATTACTAGTGTGCACATAAACACACTCCTTTTTCACAGCCTCATTACTGTAAATTATCTGTGGCCGCTCCTAAAGAAGAAGACTTTCTGCTTTCTTTTCCTGCATGAATCAAACCAGTGACCTTACAGTTGAAACCTAAACCCATTTATCATCTGAGCCACCACTGATGCTGACTCATCGTCTCTCCACGAACACGTGCCACACTAATCCTGGTGTCACTTTCTCCTTTCCTCCAGGCTGCGCAGACTTATCCATCTACCTACACATTGGTAATAAAAGACTGCTCACTCGCTGTGAGCGGCGTGACAGAAAATAAAGTCTTAAAGCATAACCAAAAGAACATGACCTGGCAAGTTTCAGAGGGAACATTTGTGCAGGCAAATGACAGGTTTCATATAAAATACATGGAATGTTAACAATAAAACATTGTGTTTAAGAGCTAAAGCCTGAGGTATTTCCACAGACCTCTCTCCAAAACCAAAGTAATACTGTATTAAATCCAGGCAGCTCATTTACAGTTGTCTATAACAACTTTCACTGTTTACTTTGCACTGCATTACACAGCAGCATGTGTGCAGCAGCAGCCAGCACATAGTAAACAAGGGCCTGAAACACCCTCCGATACAGCATCAAAACTGGATGAAAAGCAGGCGTGGAAGGACAAGGACAAACAGGAGTGAAAGTGACAACATAGCAACATTAGTTTCTGCTACTAAAAACACGGAACATTTCCACTGTGAAGTTAAAGACTTCTCCATCTGTGGTCACTGATCTACTGTCACTGAACCTGCTTAAGTGTGACCATGGACACCAGCCTGGTATCAGACTGAATCACCGCCCCTGTGGCTTGAGCAGTTCATAAGCATGCAAGCAGCTGCCGCGTCGACTGAAAAGGATGTTGGCAAGGCTAGAGGTCCCCCTGTGCTGACTGGTCAACACAAAAACAACCTGTCGCCGGTAGAAATCTGCTAACATTAGGACAGAGAAAACAAGAATCAAATAGCAAATCTGTAATCATCAGGTTGGAACCCTTCACAAGTTGCACTGGGTAACTTAAGTCAGTTTTGAGGTCAGGCTCAAGGTCATTATGTAATAATGTTATGTCAGTTATCATCTGAATCCTCACATTCTGGCTTTTTTGTTTGACTAAAGAACAACAGTCTCTATAGTCCATGTCATTACCAGCAAATTATTAAAGGAGCCCCACATTACTCAGGATAATAACGAGCAGAGCGGCTTCCCCTCTCATCACTTTTAGAGATTTCACAATTATCCCTGGCCTTCATGACTCATGCTGGTTGTTCCCTCTGTGTGCCAAAGCCTGGCGTGGATAATTAATCTAATTTTAGCTCAGTGTGTTTGTGTGTGAGAGAGAAATACTGGACAGCACTGTCGTGTTCCCTCAGCGAGCATGCTGACGGCTGCATCACTGTGACATACTGTTATCTCCCAATCCCTCTCTGTTAGTGTTCCTCGCTCACTCCTCTATTGCCCTGTTTCTCCTTCCCTCGCTCGTCCTTTCTTATCATAGATAGTTGAGACAAACCAATTGTATATTCTCGACTGATATTTTCTGTTTTCTTGTATCTGCGTTTTCTGCATGAGACTTGATACATGAAGCTAAAGAAGCACCTGATAATGAAATTATCTTCAGTTTATGTCTCTGTCTGTTTCTTTCTCTCTTCCTCTCCAGCAGCGGATGCGGTGCCGGTACGGAAAGATGGGGATCAGGTAAAACACAGCTATTTTTTTTAAATGCTCTCTCTGCTTTTGCACACCTCATCTTGCCATTTTGCTGAAAGCCACTGGTGCTGGTGTCCTCAGCTCTCCTCTTACATCTTAACAGTCTCCAGACAGGATTGGGCGGTGTGTGTCAGAGTCACTTCTTGTCTCCTCAAATCTTTTTGAGGTGAGAAAAAGAAGTGCTGTTGCGCACCCAGACCTGCCTCCCACTCAAATCTTTTTGAGGTGAGAAAAAGAGGTGCTGTTGCTCACCCAGAACTGCCTCCTGCTGTCACACGGCCAGGCCACGGCCTCACAGAGGTCGCCTGCATCTAAACTCTGAAAGATAAGGAAGAGTCGCATGTGTGGAGACTGTTCTTTCTACACTGTGTGCACACATGAGCTTTTGTGTTGTCTTTTGATATTAGGAAAATCAGAGAATATTAGGTTAGTGTCCAGCATTTTTGTGTTGGCTTTGTAAGGGGAATTCGACTGAATTCAGCTTTGTTTAATTTTTCTGTTAAGTCTGTTTACAGGTCTTGGGGAGTACAACTGTGGCTCCAGAGGGGAGCTGTGTTAAGTCTGATACAGCAGTGTTGCTTGGGGGCTGAAATCTTGGGGTGTGGAGTTGAAAAGTGAGCTGTAGCCTGCTCCTCATCTCTGCTTAAGGCCACTCCATTCATTTCTATGGGGGACTGCGTTCACTGCCGTTTTCGTTAGTTAGGGTACTGGATGTTAAATGGTGTTTTTATCTCTCAATGCAGACACACGGGTGGTAGATATTGAAGTTAACGTAGAGTAGACTATGTTAGCAGCATGGCTAACTAAAACAACTGGAAATGTGAAAGAAGCCGTTCACGTCGACTCATCACAACATGGCCATACTGTACATGCCTACAACACTCCCCCTGCCACCCCCCAGTGCCGAGCACCGTAGCATCTTACGTAAAAACACAGCAGGGAGTTGCATTTTACCGCACTCAGTCTGAATGCCCACTAAGCACTAGGCTCGTGGCTTGAGGCTACATTAGCTGCTAATCTCCAATGGAACTGTCAGCAACTGATATGCATTGTGAGTAATGTAGACACCAGGTTCTGAGAACAAAGAAAAGGTATAGAATAAAAAAGTATCTGTTTTTACTGCATCCATTTTTTTTACCCTTTTCTTAAACTGTCCATTGTGAGCCTGATCATGTTATGAGAGTCACTACTGGTTGGGCAGCTTTAATTTTAGTATTTCCTCCTTTACATACATAGTTCTCCCCAACGAATGCAGCAGCAGGACAGTATTTCTAACAGTGATGAGCCAAAAACTAGATGTTTCTGACTGGACGAATCAGTCTCCTGATGTTAAACCAACTGATTATTATTTGTTTTACTGCAGGAGAACAGACTGAAAGCAAAAAGCTGTTGGAAAAAAAAGAGAAGCTGGCTGCTGTAGCAGTCTGGTAGAACGTCCCAGGGGTATCCAAGAGCTGCAGACTTCAGACAGTCACTGAAATATTAAATATGATTTGGCATCCCAGTCGCCAAGTGGTAAAGTATACACCATAAAATGGCAATGTGCCTGGCTCGAGTTGCCAGACCACACCTCCTTCATTTCTCATCTTTCTCTATACTAAAATTAAAAAAAGACGACTTTAATTTTATGTTAATTTGTCCAAGAAAGTTTATGTTAATTGGTTGGCTCTGCCATGTCACAGCTGAGGTTTGAATCCGTTGGCCTGGTGGAGCCATTCAGAGTCTGGGGGTTTGCATTTTCTCCTGGAGTCTGCAGAAGCTTTGCTTTAATTAGTGACTCTAAATTGGTGGAGGTGTATGTTTGTCTATCTGTGTCAGCCCCCCCCCCCAAGCACGATAGGCAGGTACTGAAAGTGGATGGATGTCAAATTACCTTTGAGCACCCTCAAATTAAAGCTGAAAATATGAGCTGCAATACAGAGACAACACAACAAATGTGTCAGTGTCTTAATTTCTGACTACACTGCGACTATCAGCTGTTCGTTTGTGTTTGTGGTGGATGTATCCTCTACTTGAAAGCTGTAATAAATGACATACCTTGCTGAATGTCGGCAGTGCATCGCTCTGCCCTGTAGAGCTGCAAGTCCCAGAAGAAATCCATGAATCTTGGTGAACTGTTCAAGAAGAATATCAATCAGAACTGCTGAATATGCCTCAGAACATAAAAAAAAAAATGGAAAAGACTGAGGATACATGGGCAGAAAATACTGGTGTCAGCATGGATGGATTACTGAACATGTAGCCAGCCAGGCACAGGCCCAGAGGTCAGGGGGCCCCTTCACCAAAGAACTGTTAACCTTTCTAATGGAAAGTGAGCCAGATGAATACAAAAAAGCCACAAAGTGTGAAAAGATAGATGCAAAACAACTACAAAAACACTAAAAACGACTAAACTAGAAAGAGAGAAAAGACAAGTAAAAACTAACAAAATGGCTCAAATTAAATGGGAAACAACTACAAAAACTGATGTGGTTGCTCAGACTGGGAGACTTGCTCCTGGATGTGCAAGAGAGGCGGGGGCCTTGACATGTCTGTGCCCAGGGTCCACTGTCTCAGAATCCGCCCATGGGCGCCAGCCTACAGAAGCTCCCATTAGTCAGACCTGTTTGTGCCGCAGTGTGTATGCCTGTACTCTCGTGACTCGTTGTATGTAACTGGGTGTGAAGGTGTGTGTTGACAGTGCCTTACCAAGGCCACAGAGCTGCCCTCCCCAGGGCTCAGACTATCACTGAGCCATGTCTCACTCCTCAGCGTTGGACCCTGTGGAGTGGGAGAGAGAGAGGGAGCAGTGGTCAGAGCGAGAGAGAAGGAGACAAAAACACAGACATCCATCTTATTGTTTTTCCATCACTGGCTGCTGCTGCTGCTTGCTTTTATTTACTGGTGTCATTTTCCCTCCCACACAGGGGATGGAAGGTCAACATGCACGAGTACCGTGTACACCTTTTTAAATGTTTACTTGTTAACATCACTACATTACTGCCAAGTTAATTACAGCTGAAAGAGTCAGAGTGAAGTAACCTGTACTCTCCCTCTCATGCCAGTGTTAGGTATCCCCAGTGGGCCACATTTCCCATAAATCCTGAAGAGAACAAACATGTGAGAAGTGACTTCTACATCCCTACCATCAACAGAAACTTGTAAAATCCCGCACAAAACTCAGATCTTCAGTGTTGATGTTCGGTGGCCATGGCTTCAATAGCAGAATTCATTTTTGATTAAGAGCTCTTCCTGTTGAGCACTGATCCCATGACAGCCCTTGAGTTGTTTACCTCCTCAAACATGACTCCTCTGTGTAATGTATAGACCTGCGGAGAGAGAGAGAGAGAGGCCGGCAGGTGAAGAGGGATTTGACAGAATATAACACAGGAGCTTGGAGATGTAATGGGGGCCTCTGGACCAAGTGCACAAACAAAGCACTATAGACTGAGCAATCACATACATATTATTCTCTATATAAAGACAATATTATAAAAGACAAAGAAAAATTCCACAGGCAGTGAAAATGAAACAAACAAGAAAACATCCCTGTAGCATTAGGCTCAGTGAAAGGCACATTAGTTGAAACATCAGCCTGTTTGTGGAGCCGCTAAAAGTCAGATCGATACTGAGTGCCCCTATCAGGTCTCCTCTGAGGATACACGCCTTCCAAACCCACACAAGTCTGACTAAAGGGGTGGGAAACACAAACAGATCGGACTGAGCTGCAGCTCAAGTCGAGGCTTCATTTATCACCATTAGTGTTTTCCCTCACCATCAGGGTTTCAGACTCCAAACGAGTTTTTGAAATATAACACCGCGATCACAGTTTGTTGAAAGCTGCAGCTACATTCACCACTATGCTAGTTATTTAATGTTTTCCATTTTCATGGAAAACTGTAATGTCCCCCCAGGATTTGAATATTTTCAATATGAAACTAACACTAAAACTAATGACATTTTAAAAAAAATTATCAGCTCTGTTAGCAAGAAATCCCACAGCTCCAACATTTAAATTCATTTCTCATCTTACAATGAAACTCTTATCTCTGGTTTCTGTTTGGCTCTTTTTGTGATTTACTGTCACACTGAGCCACCGATAAACTTTGTTTTAACCAAAGAGAGTTCCAAACTTTTAATTTAAAGACAGAAACGTGAAACATAAAAATCTCCTCAGCCCCAAAAGAGACGTTTTAAAGAGAAACAAACTATAAAAATGTTTTTTTTTCTGGGATTCTCTGAATAAATGATTTTCAGTCAACAGCAGTTTGACACATACAGTATGCAACTACTGTAGAATTACCGGATACTGATCTGTATATATTACTGGTAGCGTGCTCCTGCTGTGACCGTGCAAAGTATGTGTAGGACATTACACTGTGGGGAAGCAGACAACAAATCACATTCAAGGCAGTTACATAACCTGTATCTGACTCAACAGGATAAACAGCTACAGACAATGCACAGACAGAAAGGAAAGAGCTGATGTGGGCAGCTGTGCACAGAGTTCAGCACTGAGACTGTCACTTTACTGAGAGGCTGTCAGTGTTATCGTGGCTCAGTGGATCAGCTTGTACAGTGTTGCTGCATCTCACTTCACCTTAGGAAAATCCACTACTTACACGGCTACAGGGAAGAACTCGGCTGCTTTATAAAGTATTTAAATACAAACCATCAGCATGTGCGCACACATCACAACGATGGTAGCGACGCTTTGTTTTCTCATCCACAATGAGCCTGACATTCACACGGGCATTTCTGGCTCCTGCGACCTCTGATGCATGTTAATAAAACAATACAAGCGCACACAGTCTAAGAACGGAGATGGCACCAATGTTCCCACCTGCATCTCCTCGTGTTTGACCAGTATAAGTCACAACAAACCTCCTACACAGTTAATAATTTCTTTATGTAAGCAGCACGCTGACCCTGAACCATGCTGTTGGCATTTTCTCAACAACAGGGTAATAAATACTGTTTTCTGCTCTACAGCAGAAAATGACAATAGTTTATTAGCAGCATGTTAGCACTGTCACGGAGAGCATGCTAGTACTGTACTCATGTACAGTTTTGAGGTATCTGGACTTTGAGTATTATGATCTTATGCTGCTCTATACTTTGACAAACACTGCACTTTTTACTCCACTGCATTTGATAAGTTTAGTTGCTAACTTTTCAGAACCAGCTTTACCTTTAAATGGAGTGAACATAATACTGCAACAGTAATTATAGTCAGATCAAATAATATACATTAATGTTAAATGTGCTCATAATGACTACTTTTAGTACTTTATGTTTTGATGCTAATACTTTGGATCTTTTACCTATGTAACATTTTGAGTCAAAGACTTTTACTTGAGTAGTTTTACACTATTGTATTGATACTTTTACTGCAGTAAGGGATGCGAGTACTTCTCCCAGGATGCCACGGTCTCTCTTTTTGCTTCACTGAGCCAAAACTGTTTAACAGTTTCAGTACATCTAGAGACCTGTGGATTTCTCCTTTTATGAAGAGCGACATATTAGACAGCGGAACAACTTTATTTAAACTGTCCATTTACAGTTTTGGAGCAACACCAACAGAAGAAGTGCTTCATGCAAAGAGGAGATAACTTTTATCAAAGCTACAGGAGGCCAGCGCAGGTCCACAGAGGTCACAGAAGATTCAGTGTCCTCTTCATACTGAATACATTGACATTTAACTAAATATTTCATAAGCACTAAATAATATATGACTGTTGCTTCTGTTAGGAGTGATAAAATATTATGTTTTAAATTACAGCTTCCTCCTCAGTTGCCTCAGACATTTGAGTGATTGATTCTAGTTGTTGAAAGTGAAAGATGAAGCTGCTTCAGTCGGAGCTGCGGCCCCACTGCCGAGCAGGATCATTAGCTTCTGAGATTAAGTAAAGAATTATTCAATTAGTTCAGTTGAGTCTGTCGGCCCTGTGATTAACAACCCGTTTAATCAGGAGGACTCATTCATGAATAACACCTTAAAAGTTTTTTCTCAGTGTACCATGCACAGGTGAGTGCTTGTTACTGCATCTGTATGAATTATTCCCCAGATCGTTCCTCGGCCTTGTTAATATGGATCTGAGGCAAACACCCAGCAAGGTGACTGGTGACTTGTGCAGGGCTTTGCTAAATCCTCGTGCCACCTCAGGGGCTGCTTTGTTAGAGGAGGATTATTCTTATTCCTCATTCTCCTGCCATGAAAATAAACATCTCTGACATGAATATTACATTGACGCGTCACAAAAAAAAAACGAAGGTGGCCTGCAGGAGGACAGAATTAATTCTAGCTTTCAGTTTCAGCTCTCCATGGTTTCAATTTGCTAGCCAGCTCCAGTATTTGACACCAGATGAATAATATTAATCAGGGCAGTAAGGCCTTGAAACAAGTCAGACCCAAATTCATTTATGTAGATATTCTGGTTCTAGAGTCTGAGTGCGCAGCAGCTGCAGATTAAAGCATGAATAAATACAGAGACAGAAGCCAAGCTTGATATTTTATCACCACTGGTGTTCTGTTCTTACTCTGGCTTTATTGCCAAGTTGAAATAAGCTTCCACCAACCAACTTATGACCGTATTAGCATTTTTATTATTATTATTATTATTTGCTTTGTCTGTTTAGATGACCGCATGTCCACACTACAGCCAGCCTTACCGGTAATACTATCATGTGAAAATCTACCCGGCCAATTGTTTTGTCGTTAGTATCATATCTGAGTAACAGTGAGATCCAAAATGCACCTTTACAGCTGCACTGGGTGAAACTGTAAAATCCACAGCTGGAGCTGTGACAAGAGGAAAGCATCTTCCTCCACAGTGAAACTGTTGATCCATTTCTGTAATGAGTATGGTATTACTGCTGGCTACGGTCACTTCTCTGCTGACTGAAACGGAGCCTGGCAGAAAGCAGACAGAGAAACCACAGAGGGTTTTCTTCTTCCTTCGTTTGGGTTCCTTTGGTATAAAGCACCATGGGTCAGCTAAAATGTATAGTTACAAATATCTGCAGGCTTTCTGGGTGTTGAAGTTTATACACAGACCTGCACAGGAGCCACCAACGTTCCAAATGGTTTTGTGTAGCTTTACACTAGGTGAATCCCACTTCCCTTATTTTATCGTTCCTCGATCATCGCTTGACCTGGAAGTCGCTCTGCTCTGATATGATGGACGTCCCAAAGCTCTTAGTTGTGTTCAGAGGACCGAGGAGGCTTCACATGACTGATCAGAGGAAAGGACATCCCATCTCAGACAAAACGTGTTTCCTCAGTTCCTCTCTCCTCACAGTTTCTCCTTAGATGAATCTAAGTTCCACTAACTGCATCCACATTTCCTTCACTCGCATCTTTTCCTTGCTTCTTAGTCCCGCCCACGTAAGATGCAAGGAAAGGATGCAAGGACACATTATGAGGAGAGAGGAAAGGAGGAAATGCATTTTAATTGACATGAGACGTCCTTTTCTGTGATTAGCCATGTGAGGGGTGGGTCACTCAGTAACAGGATGCGCTCGTGCGTCCACGGTTACAGCTCCTCCAGTCGGCCTCTGCGTTCCTCAGAGCAGAATTAAGAACTCTGGGACATCCTTCGTCATGGTGGACCGGAACGACTTCCGAGTTGAGCGAGGATCAAAGACTGAGAAACGATAAATTAAGGCAATTGGGATTCAGCCCTTGCATCTTAGGTGGGCAGGACTAAGATGCAAGGAAAAGATGCAAATGAGGGAAACATGGAGAGGAACTGGGATTCACCTACCGTCTTTAAATCAACCACCTAACAGAGAGAAGACACTTTGGGAAATCAAGTGTGCTGATACTTGCATTTTTCATGCATTTACTAAAACCTGTTTGTGTTCAATGGAGTTCATCAAGTTTTATCCAAATTTTTAGCTCTTCAGCCCTAAAATGACCTTTTCTTCCTCCAAGATGACAACTGAGGACACCAGAGGTGCTTCTGTTACTGCTACCTTTCTATTTACAAATACAGTAGGCTGAAGAAAATGATCCACAGTTTCAGACAGTGTAATTTATGCATCATCTTTACCTTAATTAACATCACATTACACCGTAGGAGAAGCTCTGCACTAACCATACAGTTTATATTTCATATGACTCTGCAGTAAATTGCACTCCTGAGTGTGTCTACAACCTGTCTGATCCTCTGTGGCAGCAACACCTGAAACGAGGTGTAGGACATTTTCTCTTTCACCTCTCATGCTCTGAACAGTGCAGCTATGATAAGAAGCTTAAAGTGCTGGAGGAGAAATTTGTTAGGGCGGTGCAGCGAAGAGCCCAGCGTTAAAAAAAAAATCATCCTGACAACAGTGCATTTAGATTCTCTGGAGTAACCGCTTTCCAAAATGTTCCACTGTTCACTGTCTCTGTGTCTGTGTCTGCTGTACAGTATAATGAATATGCATGAGTTAATGTGCGCATGTGTATGAGGACACGATATAAATGGCGTCCAGGTTTGGCCACCCATCAGATTTGCTGTTGCCCTGAGCAACAGGGTCAGTGCTGAATGGTATCCATTGGTTACCTAAACACAGTGGCAAGTGTAGATGGACAAAGGGGGCCAGTGCCACTCAGACGATCACAATACAAACTGTCACACTGAAACATCTTGTACATTTACACTGGACAGCTCTTCCATGTGTCTCCATAGCACAGTTTGCTGCTTTAAGTCTGGGTGTCAGAATTAGAAAAAAAAATTATTCCCAAACTTTCTGCTGTTGCAGCTCCTCACACACACACACACACACACACACACACACACACACACACACACACACACACTTTATGCAGACAGACTGAAAGCGGGGTGACTGACATTATGCAGAATGCCTGCAGGTCTACTGAAATGTGAGCTCGTACAGATTGAATTCTTAATTAAATTTAAGCCCAGATTCATTTCAGGTATAAACTAGTTCAAGATTTTAAAAAACACACCTGTAGATCTATAAAAGACGTAACTGAGCGTGAATTTTAAAACAAACAGAACCGTATTCAAGAGTTTTTCTGTGTATTACAACACAATTTAGTAGATTTACTAGAGACACTGCAGATGACCTAATATCCAAACTGTAAATGTTCCAATGAGTCTAAGTCAGGGCTAAAAGGCTTAAGATCAGTTTGTGTCCCAAATTGTCTCATCACTCTTCTTCTCTTTCCTCCTCTGTTTTACCTTCCTGTGTTTGTCTCCTCCCCCTCCTCCCTCCCCCAGCATGGCCGTGCTGAGTTTTCCTGGGAAGGAATCAATGTAAGTTTAAATTGTCTTCCTCTCGTTGTCATGTGCCCCTGCATCACTCCTCCACTGAGTGTGGACTTCGACTAGTTGACATCGTACTTGTTTATCCTTCCACCCCTTCCTGTCTGTCTCTCTCTGCCACTCTCTTATTCCTACTTTTACTCTCTGTTCCGTCCGTCTCTGTTCTTGACTCTCTGCTAATCCGTACTGCATATATAAACAGTCACAGATAACAAGCTGTAAAATAATTCTCTTATCCACAGCTGAAGCCTTTGCACAAGTCCCAGTTTGAGTGAACGCACTGTGCAATGAACCGTTTTTATACCTTCAGCAGAATTTATTTGCACAATATACATTTTGACTCAGTGCTGCCACGGAGGCAAATAATCTTTGTCTTTAGCTTTGGTGACAGAGAAAACTTCCTGAATAAAAACCTATACTCAGCAAAGTAACTAATTTTGGGCTTTGGAGACAAAACAATTCAAAAACAAGGCAACAGACACGTAGGCTGCCGATACATCCAGCAGACACAGCAACATTATCATTCATATGGAGTTGTGTTTGTCCACCTGGTGAACGTGAGTCTGCGTTTCACACCTTTTATCTTTCACCATCTCTGGAGGAAAATAAGTGGCGTTTCAGCCGCTACATGTTCCATGTTCGTCACTTGCTACACAAACTTTTCCTGCCCGCTGTTGATTGATGCATTAATGAAAACATGTGCATCCTAAGATCTGTTTTGCCATTTCCACTGCCCCAACAGCAGCGCTGCACTCAGACCTACAGCAGTAGCTTATATTTAACTGTTTGAGGGGAGCCTACGATGTTGCTGTACTGTACTGACATTTCTCCAGAACTGTGACTGTGAAACACTGGAGGGTACAAAGGCGATTTGTTTTCTTAAAAAAAGTACATTCAATTGTGGTTGAGGATGAACAGCCTAGACACGAGACAATCTACATATCATGTATTACAATCTGCTGGTAACATCGTGAGTGCGATAACACAGATAATACTCCACCTGCACATCACAAAGGGAGCAGATTATATCAGATGCCAGCAATTAACAGATTTTAATTCTAAATAATAAATCACATCTATCACAGAATCCCTGAGTCCATTTGTTTTTCCTCCTATTTCCCACTGTAATTAGCTGTTGGGAGGACCTCGTTAAGAGCCAGGATCCGTCTCTGTGTTCATTAGTTGGCTAGTTGCTTTGCCATGTGCACTGGCTCCAGGAAGTACAGCAGAAAGCACACAGGCATGAGCAGTGTTCAGGTGGGTGTGCTGTGCACTCGAGTGCACTCAGTCTCAGTGTTTTGATGGAGTGTCGTTGGAACTATTCAACATTCCCATGATCCACTATTATTGTAAAAAAAAAAAAAAAGGCCCTTACAGAGTTGAGGGAGATGTCATCACTCTCCTTTAACCCAGTCTGGAGACAACCAAAGCCAGTCGGATGGGTAACATTCCCAGCAACAGAAAACACAATGAGCCCTGAGAGTGATGGGAAACTGTTTTGGTGCAACATGAAGGCTCAATGGGAGGAAGGAGGCAGAAAACAGGTTTAAAGCCCTCTCTCTCTGGCCTTGAGCAAAACAAGCAACGCATCCTCTCATCATCATAAACGTCTCCTGATAAAACAGACTTAAGTGTTTCACTCTTTAACCATCTGTCACAACTTTTAACAACTGAATTCACATTTTACCAATAAAACCATCAGTAATTGTTCCGTATTGTCAACATTTTAACTTTTTGTGCAAATTTTCCGGCTGCTCACTAAAGACTGTGTCGTCCATTTACATGATTTTGAGTCATCGCTTATGCGTGAGTTTATAATCACAGTATACCTGTGATTCTCCTCTTTTCACTGTGATCGCTGTAAGCCATTACAAGGTCTTCACACAATTAACCCTCCTTTCTTATTCCCTCTGTTACAACCTCCCTCCTCTCGTCTTCTCTCTCTCTGAATTTTCAATCATCTGCTCTTGTCACCTCAATTTCTTCAATTCCATTTTCACTTTCTTGCATATGTCGCTTTCTTCTCAACTTGTTTAATTTATTCTGAGACACTGCAATTTTTTTCTTTTCATTGTATCTACATTCCCTCTCCTTCCTCTTGCATTTTCTTGCCCTTCCCTTCTTCACCTCTAACTCCGTGTCTGGTCCGTCTTTACGTTACCATCCAACCTCTCTGCTCCGACCACACCTCATCTCCCTGTCCTCTCTCTATAGTTGTCCATGGAGGACACTACTTCCATTCTGCCTCGACTCAAGAGGAAGCCCACCAACACCTATGGGATCGGTGCCCTGGCTAAGTCCTCTCTGTCAGGTGTGTCAGGTGTGTGTCTGTGCTGCTAGATGGTAAAACAGCTCCCATGTTGCCTCCACACGCTCCACAGTGACTCGAGAGTGAAGTTGTTGTTGAGCACTGACAGGGTCTAAACTTGCATTCTCTGCTGGGTAAAAGATAATTTTTGTTTTTTTTTCTGTTCATTACTCAGATGATTATTTGGTACCACAGTAGTGCAACAGCCAAATGATCAACATTTGGCTTGATTTAATGATAAACCCCAAGAATCAACAACTAATTTCACCCAAAAAAGCTTCAATAAGAATGTGAGTAAATGGGACATAGATGATAAACCAACATAAGTTTCTCAAGAAATTAGTATTATGAATGAATGAATGAAACTGTGGCAAGTGTTACCTTTCATTTAGTGTTAGCTTTAGCATGTTAAGGACTGAAAGGTTGTTTCACGACACTTTGCAGAACAGAGTTTTGTCTTTTCTTTTCTCAGAGGCCAATAAGGTTTGAAAGCAGAGGGAATCTAATCGGTTTAGTAAAACTTAGAGGATGGAGCTAATGAATCTTCTTCAGGTTTCAGCATCGATTCAGAAAACGCAGCTCTCTCATTAACAAAATTAATAATTAAACAAACAAACAAAGCAAACTGAGCCCATCTGTCATCCATCAATGCACTGTGTTAGCCTTCCAAATGTGCACCTGCCTGTTAGATCACCCTGTAACATGAACACGGCCACGTGACTGTCGACATGTCAGGTGTCAAAACAACCACCTTTTGTGGTAAATTATTTCCTGACACCACTGCACTGCACACTGCTGAAAGGGTTTACGTATTGTGCCGTGCTTTGCCGTCTTGTAAACCTTTATATTCACGGATGTATTACTCAAACCACCCCGCCTGGATTCACTGTCTTTTATCTCACCAGTCCCACCTGCTGACAAGCTGGCCTAGTATTTTTATTTTTATCAGTTCAGCTCAATGTAAAAAGTGAACACACCACTATTTTGGAGCATACTGCTCTCGCTTGAGTTAGTACAGCTCCACACGTTCTACTCGAGTCGATAACTACCAAGAGAAGTTAAATGAGAAGTCATAATTTACTGGCTAATTTTACAACCTCATGAATGCCTTAGTCACAGCTAAATGAAGAGTGAGTGTCAGTTAGCCAAGATTCTTTAACTGCAGTAACATGCATTTAGTACTTTTAGCTACAAGAAATGAGGGCAGAGGGACATTGAGCGGGGGTGTTTCAGTTACATGCCTTAAACCCTGACAGTACATTTGTTTCTACGTCCACATGGTTTCTGCACTACTCGCAGGCCAAAGACTCGTCTGACACACTTAGGAAAAACAAGAATTATCTTTTAACTGCTGCAGCAAAAGGTGGATTTTATAAATTAAACCTTGCCTCAACAGATAACTTCACTCTAGAGCAGGAGGAGGAGGTGGAGCTTGGAACCAACATGGCCGCCCCTGTGGGTGCCCCTTCCTATATCACTCCCTACTGTCGCCTCTTTTCCATTGATATCAACAGCACACGTCAATGACAAACCCATTCTGCGGAGTCATTGATGGAAATCCAATCAGATCTTAGATTTCAAAGAAACTAAAGTAAGTGTGGTGACTTACTTTAATTAGCTACTGAAGCATCTCCACAGGCGTGTTGGGAACTGTAGTGTATTTGTAATGTGGCGGTGCTGCTGCTGGTGGTGTGGCCCGATCTCTGTGAAGTAGTGACTCTTGTGCAGTGTCGTGACCACAAGTGGCTGGTGCCTCTGTTGTGCTCTCTTGTGCTTTGTGCTTCAAACTGTGGTGCTCTGTGCTTTGTACTGTTGAAGTGTAGCACCTCGGTGTTTGTGTAAAAACAAGTGGTGTTATTTGTTTTGTGTCTGGTGCACTTTAAATAAATATGTTGGTGTCATTTCACAGTGTAGAGCATTATTTTTTTGAGCCTTTGAATAGCCCAGACCCCAACACCCTCCCTCATCCCCATTCTCTCCATCCATTCCTCGCTCCATCCCCAGTTAGTTTCTGCAGGGTGTTGTTTCAGGTGAGACTGGCTCTCTTGGTCTGAGGGGAAAACTTTATTTTTTTTAATGCATGCTGTCACTCAGCCTCTGGATCAGGGGAGCAGTTTCCAAAGCTATGTTGCTGTTTATACATGCCTATTTGACTCTAATCGAATTTTTAATCAATCATACGCTTTGCAAGCACTTGACTTAGTGACTATGTCCCTAGTTTGAATCATAGATTTGCATCTTAATTGGGCAGAGATTTGCAAATGGACTCTTCTCAGTGTTCTGTTTACAACCAAGGATTATTTTCCTGTCTCTCTCAGCCTCTGTAACACATTTTTAATTACATAAAGTCTAATGAATCTCATTTATTCTGTTTACTAGGAAATGAGTAATGGCTTTAATTATTAACACGGGTCTGTCAGTGTTTCAGCCATTATCCTTTTCTGTTCAGTTCTACAAACTCTAGTAGGCAAACAGGCAACTCCGTCCAATTTGTCACTGTGGTTGGCTCATGTCACCCGACCTGTTCAGTCCAGTCCATCACATGACCAGTTAGAGGGTTTCACTAAGGTCTGCACTGTTATCGAGCTGATTCACCTGGTTATTCTGATTATTCTAATCCCAGTGTGTTAAGACATATCTGAAGATTTTATAGTTTTATTTAATTAGATCCAAGAGAGGTTGATATGTTGTATATCAGATGAGCTTCACTGCAAGTCCAGTTCACTTCTGTGACATTTCTCTGACTGGTGCTGTAAACCATTCTCTGCTCATCCACATCAGTCACATCATTATCATCTAAAACAGCAGATAATGGTGCGAGTGATATGAGATGGTGAGCGATGACTGTCTGACTCATTTTGATGATTAGCATAAAAGTAATAGTTGAAATGAGACAAATTCAAGAGGTTTCGATGTAGGTGCTGTAGAGATGGTTGGTAGATATTCTAGGACTAAGCTGCAGTGGTTTGAAGGCAGAGACAGGCTCCTCTCCCAGGCAGATTAATATTAATACCACCTTTGTGTGATACAGTATTGGGCACTATTGTGTTCCAGCAGAAGCGCTCAGTGGCAACTAAGACGACCAAGGTAGCACTGGGCAGATCATTGCTAAAAAAAACAACTGCACTCAGTGAACCCACCTTGGATAAACAAAGATTTTAAAAACAATTAAAGCTGCTGTTTTTGACATTGCAGTGGTTAGCATGGACTTCAGGCAGTATAATTCCCAGAACACAACTGAAATGAAGACATGTCATTCTGACAGTCCTCAACTGAATGTATTTAATACAGAGTAGCTGCTGGGTTGTTGCCATAACCTCACATCCAGTCACACGGCTACCTGAATTCATCCACACCCGTACATGTACTGCCCCATTGACATGATGAATCACGGTTTCCTGTATTAAACAGATCCTCTACATTACCCAGCTTCTCATTCTACCTGTCCCCTGAGCCTCATTCGGAGGTGTAGTCAACTGCAGAGGCCAGAAGTTTGACAGTGTTTGTGTGTGTCTGATGTGTGTTGTATGTGTGCTGCTGGTCTGCTCCTCCCGCTACCCCGATACCTGTTACAGGTGTGACTCGCTCCATGAAGGATAAAGTGACCAAGCCCACGGCCATGGCCCAGGGTCGCGTTGCTCACATGATTGAGTGGCAGAGCTGGGGCAAGCCATCTGCAGGGCCGCAGGGGGGTGCGGGACATACCAACCTGCAGAGGGAGAAGGAGAGGAGGATGGAGAACGACGCATACAGTGACCTTAGTGATGGCGAGAAGGAGGCTCGCTTTGCTGCAGGTGAGAGCGGGTCATGAATGTTCAGGTGCTACACGGCCACGACAGATTTCTGTAAAGCACAAATATATGAAACCAGTAGAAAACAGGTCCTGGCCATGTTGAAGCCAGCAGCATTTCAGACCTTTGACATTTCAGGTTGCTCAAATACTATCAACAAATGCGGCAATACGCTAATTGTAAAATAGTGAAAAAGTGTTTCAAATGTACAAGCCAGCTCAGATTTATCACGACCAGGACCCACTGGTGCAACATTCCAGTGATGTTTGAAAAATCTAATTGGCTCTGGCCCATCTGGTGAAGTTACATTAATAATTTTTGTATGTTATTGTCACTCATTTATTTTGCAACATTTACATAAACAACTTGTTCTCCATTTCCCCCACCTCCAACTACTTCCATGTTAATGACTTCTGTACGAGTTGGCAAGTGGGATTTGTTTTATGTGCTTTATTTCTAACTGTGTTTCAGTAAGTTTACGACTCTTCCTATTATTATTGCATGCTGTGTTTCCTAACCTCAGTATTGCTGCTCCTCCCCCCTCAGGCATCATGCAGCAGTTTGCGATCTCCGAGGCAACTCTGTTCGGCTGGACCTCGATGGATGGGGAGAGTATGGGAGCTGGCTCCAACCAGGGCAGCGTCGCTCACCTCAGCGAGGTCAACCAGGAGAGCATCACCAGCAGAGGTAGTGCACGTCAAACCTATCTACAAATGGCTATTGGGCATGATTTCAGGGTTAGACTCTGAAACAGCTGCAGTATTTGGTTGGAATCTTTCGTCTTGATGGCACATAGTGTGCTGCAAGTCCTATGAACTTACAGTTAGAGGTCAAGTATGGGGGGGTGAGTCATTTGTGTAACTGTATTCATGTAGTCAGCCTAAAGCACTAACACAGCAAAACATAACTGTATTCTCACATCAGAGTGTGTGTGTGTTCAATGTGTAGAGCTCTAGATCCGTCTCACACAGAGCTGCACTTTCCTGCCTCTCTCTCTCTGTCAGGCACTTACTCAAAAACCTCCAGATGACAAATCCAGATGACAGCCTGTCACTTCTGAAATATCACAACACGTTCTGATGGGGTTTCATGAGGACTTGGAGAATGTACTCCAAATCTAAATGTCAAGCCATATAAAAATAAGGAAATGAAAGAGGATTTAACTTTACACTTGGATTGAGTAAAACAAAAACTATTTGGCGAAACAAACTCAGGTCCTGATTTGTCATTTCAGCCTCAGATGGCAAATTGTCCTTTTAGTTTAGCTGCCCAGAGGATGATAAAATCAGAGAAAAAGGAAGGGAAGAGAGCGGTTTTCTCAGGCAAGATTAGAAAACCGCAGCTGATCTCATAGGAGAGAGCCAGAAAATCTGAAAATAAAATCAAAACAAAACAATTCCGACTTTTCTCATTTGAAACCTGGACTTGTGTGTCGCTTCCACTTTTATACTAACAGTGTGTTCAGCAGAGCAGAGTGCTGCCCAAACCCTGAGGGAGCCTGTAGGTTAGCACAAGGACTTAGCCCTGCTCTCATTAACACCACCATATGGGCTCTGCTCTGTGCTTTATCTGGCATGCAACCCCAACACACACATGTAGAGGACACACAAACACAACAACGATTAAAAGCTACTTAATATCAGCATTAGGACTGAGGGAATGTTTCTCCTCCACAGACTTGGTGTTCAGCCTCCTCCGTGGGTCTGCTCTATAATAATAACACTGCTGCAGATAGGCTAATCATACTCCCATTAAAGTAGTGTTATTACTGACTAGAAGGCACTATAGTTTGTGTTTGGATGAGAGGCCCACTTAAACTACACTCTGAATGAACAGGTCAGGGTTTCAGGTTGGGTTTACTGTATCTCCCTGCTGCACACTGGCTTACGTTCCTGTCTCAACAAACACGCCGACACATGCTTCTATTTACCGATACTAAACTCATTTTTAGTGGAAATCGCCTTGATTCTGCCTCAGCTCTCTTCCAGCGTTAGTATTTCCCAATCCAAAGAAACGGTGTGATGCATATTTCTTTGGCCAGATCTGTGAAAAACCTGCAGCCTGAATCTAATTTGGATAGAAGTTGTCATATTTCAATTCAAGCCAATTCTGAAATATTGACTTTCACTAAATAAGAATGAAATCACTAAAAAGACTATAATTTGTTTAAAAGCAGGGGAAGCCTTAAACGCCCTCTGCAGAACTGTACTGTAATGTCTGCTGTTGCCACCACACACCTCTTAGTGCTGGTAAAACAGATGTTTCTCGGTCTCTGCCAACCCTGACTACTAAATTTACATTTTCATCCACCATCTCCTTTCCTTTGCACTAGCCTCCTCTCATTTTTTTGCTCTTAAGGTGTCTAAGTTGTCCTGCGTGTCACTCCTCCTACCTGTTTGTGTTTCCCTGAACAGACCAGGTGCTCCATCACTCCTCTGCAGACGTCTGGCCTCACACCTACGTCTCGCAGGGCCTGTACTGCCTGTCATCCTCTGACGCCTGGGACCCGATCACCAGCCAGCCCTCCGGTGTGGCCTCACCAGCTGCAGGCTCCTACATCATGGCTGCTGGTGAGGATTAGATCTGGTATCTTTTAGAGTGCTTCCACATATAGTCCCTTTTAAATGAACCAAATTCTGTTTTCTTAAAGTGGGCCAACAGAAAAGGAACTTGGTTCTTGTGAGTTCTCTTTCTGGTCCACCTCAGCTCTGATGGGGCCTCAGTCCTCTTTGTTTATGCTAGAGTTACTGTGGAGCTCTCAGGCCAATAAACTAACTCACTTGGATTTGGCACTGCAGCAGAGTCCTAATGAAGCCCCGAGCTCTCATATGAGCTGTAGACGGTTGCATTTCATGTGTTTGTTCCATATCAGAAGAAGTGTAGCAGCTTCTTTCGTACACATGTATCGAGATAAAATACAATCTCTGCAGTAAAAACTATTTCTCTGCCTGTATGTGATGGACTTTCATGAGACATTGACAGATTGCTCATGTTTCCAGCCTTATATGCAAAAGACTAGAGGGCAAACCGGTGGCAAAAGGCCAAGCAAACAGCTTTGTGTTGACAATGCACAGATTAAATGAACTGCAGGCTTGAAACAAACCACTTCATTCATAGTGTTCACATATCCCCCCCCCCGCAAATCACTCAGTCTGTTTTGAGGAGTGTGAAAACACCCTCACACTAGGTATAAGCACTAGATCGCGTCTCTGAGCACTAGGCACCAACTGTATTATGGTTGTTCCAGGTGGCAGCAGCGGAGCAGGGGGTACACCTGGTGAGGGATACGAGGGGACAGTAGGCAGTTACCTTCAGCAGCACCAGGCTCAACTCGCCCTGCAGCAGCAGACTCAATTCCAACAGCTCCAACAGTTCCAACAGCTCCAACAGCTTCACCATTACCAGCAGCAACAGCTTCTGCAATTCCAACAACAACAGCAGGTCAGTAGTAAAGCATTTGGTACTGTTACAGACGTTATCATTAACAGGAAGCTAACATCATGTCATCGGCTTTCCCATCTCTTCTCCTACACATTACAAAATCTACATCTGACAAAAATAAATTTAAGGTTACGTAGTTATGTTTAGGAAACACAAAACACTCGGTTAAAAATAAAACATTGGGTTTTTTGTTAAATAATGGCATCCACAACGACTTCAAGCATGAAGAAGAGGCCAGGAACACACAGGCCTCCTCCATACAACTAAAACATCACTGATGGGGGGGTGGTTGCAGTTTTCTGCAGCTGAAGTGAGTCATGATCTACTGTGACAGCCGAAGACTTTTTCGGCTTCATTGGAAGCTCCTGCTTTGGTACATTCTCATAGCTCATTAAATAACTGAGGGTTATGAAATATTAACCGGCAAAGGGCAGGGACTGTGTCTTAGAAAAGGTGTACTAATCCGAGACCACAGTGGAAATGAGCTTGTTAGCATTACTGTGTGTATTATATATTTTCCCTTGTGAAGAAGACTATTGAATACATTACATTTATAACAAACCGTATCAATCAGTCAATTTTCTGAGCATCAGTTGATACACAAGAGGCTCAGACATTTTCCCCACCGTCTCCCAAAGCTCCACTCCTGACACATAATTTAACGGGGTACTGTAAGCACACACTGACCATTATTAATGACTAGAAAACAAGTCTGCAGTGAAGACCGCTAAATTCTGGGAGAATAAAACTGCTTTGCTATGATGAGGCTATAAAACCTTCCAAGCAGAAATGTGTTCTGTAACACTGCTGTCTATTATTGCGCAGCTGAAATGTCAGGAGCAGGGGGGCGAGACGGCTGTGGGTGTTTCAATTCTCTAGTGGGGGCCATATTGTTATTCCAGTAAAAACAAATTTTTAGGATCAACAAATGAGGCCCTGGGCCAAGTAACTGCTGAGTCACTGCTGTTAATCAACAACCACATAAGCTCCCTGCAACTACATCCAGTTTATTACACAGTAAACCCTCATCACTTCTCCTTTCCTGTCTCAATTCCTTTCTGTCCATCGACAGTCTATGGAGCACAGGCTACATAGCGCCTCCCATTCTCTTCAAGCCACTCCCAACAGCACCATCCACAGTCTGGGACCCCCCACCCCCCCT